ATTATTTATTATTTGTTCAATTACAATGAAGTAAAATGCCCAGATGAGCGTAGAACATGTCAGTGTAATAAATATACAGTTAAAAACATTTAAAAATTGAAATCAATTAAATGTGAGACATTTTAGCAGGTAAAATCTGAAGGGATGGTATCTTTAAAATATTCATCAGTTGAGTAGTATGCTCTATTTAGAAGAAAGTTTTTAAGTTTATTTTTGAGTGTTGTTTTAGAGAGGCTTTTTAGTGCATTTGGAAGTTTGTTATAGATTTTTATTAGAGTATACGGTATATTTTTCTGAATATAAGTAAAATTAGGAATATTAGTAACCAAATCTGCTTTATTTCTTGTTGGGTAGATGTGTGCTTTATCAAAGTCGTTAAAAAGCTTTGGATTGCTTTTAATAAACATTATGCTGTCAAGAATATACTGACTGTATAGGGTCAGTACTTTCTTTTCTATGAATAAAGGTTTACAGCTATCAGTTTGTTTGGATTTATAAATAATTCTAAGGCAACGTTTTTGAAGTGAAAAAATTTTTTTAACGTTCACAGATGCACCCCAAAAAATTAAGCCGTATTTAAGTCTTGAGTGGACTTGTGCATAATAGACAGACATTGACGCTTGAACATTTATTGTTTTAGTGATGACTCTTAGGGCATAGCAATGCCTTGCAACATTTTCTGACAAAGTATCCAGATGAGATTTCCAATCCAGTCTAAAATCTAGCTCAATTCCCAGGAATTTTGAACTTTTACTAGTTGTTATTGTTGATTTACCATCCGAAAAAGTATAATCATTTTCAGCTGACTGTGAGAATTTGATTGCCTGTGTTTTATTAGGGTTCAGCTTTAGGTGATTTTGTGCAAACCAAGCTTCCAGGGTACTTAAAGCATCGAACACATTTCTTTCCAAGTCATCTCCATTTTGTTCTTCAAGGATAACGGTTGTGTCATCAGCAAATTGTATAGTGTTTAAGTTGTTGTCCATTTGTAGTTCATTGGTATAGAGAATGTACAGCAATGGACCTAGAATTGATCCTTGTGGTACCCCTCTAATTATTGTTAGTTCATCAGACCTTATAACCTCATTTGTGATGTGACATTTTTCGACCACGTACTGTTTTCTATTATATAAGTATGATTCTATCAAGTTAGCTGAGGTTCCCCTGATTCCATAAGCCTCAAGTTTATTTAGCAATGTTTTATGATTGACATTGTCAAAAGCTTTTGAAAGATCTAAGTTAATCATTAAGCTATGTTTCTTGTTATTTTGACTATTTATGACTGAACATAAAGCTTGATAAATTGCTCTTGTTGTCGATTTACCCTTTCGAAACGTATTCAAGGAACACATTGATGTGAGATTTTCACTAAACAGTTTTACAAAATGCTACACTTATTTCGCTATACGATAGCTTCATTCAGAAACCCAAAAACCAATTTGGACTAGGACTATTACAAGCAGAGGTATGAACAAAATGCGTTTTATCTCATGCTCAGATACTGAGGTTTTGTCTTTTCCGTTAGTGAAAATTTACAATGATCTTATTGATGATATATTTCCAATGAAACCAATTAAATCGAGGTTCAATGTGAATCCTGTGTCTTGGTTCAATGACGAATTGAGAAAACATCGTGATAATCTATCAAAACTGAAAATTATATGTGACAGTACCAAGGCACCTGAAGATATAAATAACTTTAAAAAATTCAAAAAA